TTCTCTTTCCACAATAGCGTACTCTGATATTTTTCAATGTTTTTTTTTTTACAATTTTATAAGGGTTATCTTATAGAAGGCGAAATGTTACATACCCTCTTTGCATATTAAACACAAGCTAATAACGCCCCATCTATAGTTCGGTTCAAAATCACTATATTAGATACCGCTCAACAAGAACAACCTAGTTTATAATAATTGAAACAGTGAATAAAATGTGAAGGTTATTCACATATTAAACAGAATGTAAACGCGAGATTCAATCCCGGTTCATGACTGTCGGGAATTGAGGGTGTTACCCACTCGTCCACCGACTTGTTTTATTCCATCTATGGTCAAGTAATGAAACTATCCAAACACAAATTTTTGTTTTAGAGAATGTGTTTTATTTTGAAAATAAAATTCCTGCTTTAATAGTGTTGAAAGTGGAAATTCTATGATATTTCTACGATGTAATACTCTTGTTATAATTTACATATTGTTTTAATGTTGCAATCTCTAATTTGCATCTCAGCCTCTATATCGTATCTTTGATGGATTAGTTGGCTAGCAGTTATTGGATAGGGCAGGCCGCTGATAGGCGTGAACTGCTAGTGTATATATAATTTTATCTAGTTTAATTTCTTTAATCTCTATTCCTTCTTTTTTGTTCATAAATACCTTTAAGTAATAAAGGATCTTTATAATTATCAGCTTTCTTTTTTACCCGTATATATATACGAAAAATTAGTACAAATGTGATATTGTACTGGGATAAGTACATAAATTAAGAAAAAGGCATCTCCTAATCATGCAACTGAAAGTTGCTGATGGCTTGCGCCATCTATCGGAATAAATATCAACTATTCTCGTTGATATTTAATTATTCCAGAATTGGCCAACTATATATATATATAGTTATGAATATTTTGTTTTGCTGTTGAAAATGATGTAGAATTGAAGGTGCAGTCGTGAAAATAGGAAAGATTATTATTTACCCATCAAGTAGTTTTTATTTTGAATTACTTAAAGCAAATTACACATAAAATATTTATCACCATAATATAGAATTTATAAAATGAATTCTATATTCGTGAATTTAAAAAAAAATAGGTAAGTTAACTATACATATTTACAACAAATATTCAAAAAGTGGTAAATTCTAAATCTATGGTCAAAAATGTAGAACAGTCAATGAATGAAAATAAAATATATGTTTTAAAAAAAATAAAATATTTGCATTTTAGATTATATAATAGGTATATATTCTCAACAAATAGTTTAATTTCTTGAATATTTCTTATATTCTATATTTACATATAGGACAAATATTCACATGTTTATTCCAAACGACATTTCAAAATGTCTCTACGGAAAATAATGTCCTTTTTTATTTCTTTATAAAAAGCGTATTTCAATATGCTTCTATGTTTTTAAAAATATATATTTGCATTTTTTTATAAATAAATCAAAAATATCAATTTATCTTTCTTTTTCTAGACTCTTATATTAAATTTTTCGAAGAAGTCATTTTTTTCTTCATATAGCTTCTTTATTAAACGGTCTGTGTTCAAAAACGTAATATTATTTATTTATACACAGTTAAACCTGTCTATAGCGCCCCCTTTAAATAGCGCCTTCCTCTCTATAGCGCCCGATTTTAAACATTTAAAATGTAAACATTTTATATTAAAAGTGACCTGTCTATAGCACCCCTTCTCTAAAGAACCTTATTTTGGTGAGTCCCAAGAGGGGGCACTATAGACAGGTTTAACTGTATTTTTGAATTTTCATTAAAGAAAAAAACAAACTTCGGCTATATATATTTTATTAATATTATTATCTTTAAAATAGTATTGTAAATAGAGAGAGAAATCGATAAATAGATCTTTAATTAAAACATCATATATTGGATCGAAATATCATTTATTTACCTATATTTCAGTTGGCTGAACGCCAACCTTTTTCAAGGTATTACAACATATTTATGTTAACAACAAACTCAGCGCCACATAACGTCAATAGAATTAAGTTTAAAAATATTTGCAATATAGGAATACACATGTGTATAGGCAAAACATATTTTTAAACTTAAATCTATTGACGTTATGTGGCGCTGAGTTTGTTGTTGACATACATATGTTGTAATACTTTGAAAAAAGTTGGCGTTCAGCCAACTGAAATATTGGTTAATAAATTATACAGTAGAACTACCTCCCTGTAAAGGACACCTAATTATAGAACCAAAGTTTCCTTTTGGGACAAGTGTTCTCTTACCGGAGAATTACTAAATAGTAAAAATGGTGATTTTGCAAATGAAAACTGTCCTTTGTAGAGAGGTGTCCGCTAAATGGAGGTTCTACTGTATTTTGATCCAATATATGCCAATTTAATTAAATAGTATATAGTATTCAGGTTATATATGTTCAAACTTCATATATGTTATTTTAAAATATTTGAAAATACACCTATCCCCCGATTTACACGGTACTTGTTTTACACGTTTTCGCTTTTACACGGTTTTCCAAAAAAGGTTTTTTTTTATCGCACTATACTAAATGCGATATTCTACTCTATACTACCTATGTTGAAAAGAATATTGGGAGGCTCTGATTCATGAGGGGGCGAACACCTATTCAGATTTGACAGTTTAATATACACCTATCCCTCGATTTACAAGTTTTTCTCAGGAACGTATCTACCGTGTAAATCGGGGGATAGGTGTATTAATAAAATATTTCATCCAAGATATGCAAGTCAACATTAAAGAATTCCATATGGATTGTTATATATTGAAAATAAAAAGGCATCTCCTAACCGCTTACATGGGTATTTTTAGATGGAATACCGCCATCTAGTGAATCAAATATCAACTAAACATTGATTTAGATTTGTTCCATATTATTTTCAATCACAGAAACTTTCTTAATGAGGTTTTAACATGAAAATAATAGTTATTGGAATGCAACAAGGAGGAGTTGGAGAGTGTCCAAGAAACACAAGCAAAAGATCATTTATAAAACTGGAGTCATTTATCAAAAGATATATTGATGATTTTCTATCAGACAGGCGTGAAACTGCACGAATTCTCTTTTTAATTATTATGATGTTTATTTGGCATTATCTTTATTGGATTGAAAGTGTAATAGTAAAAATGTTTTAATTTCATAAATTTAACTTTCTCAGCACAATTTTGCATATTAATTCTGTATATACAAAATTTATGTTTTCACTTTCATTTATAAATACTATATTTTTCTCATATGTAAAAATATCTTGTTCTATTAATACTAATATTTCTTTCTTTTTGTCATGGTAAAACCTGTAGAAGGACGTCCGAAAGCTTGCGAATAAAGTTATTATAAGATACTCCTCTTCAATTGTTGTTATATTTTGCTATTAATATATACGTGGTACAAGCCATGATAATCATTGTATGTAGTATTTGGTGACTGCTTTTACTGTAAGTGCATCACATGTCTACACATGTAGAAAGTATTTCGAGTTTTACACTTACAAGTGTCATTGGTGAGGTAGGTCTTTTGCAAGAATCGGGGGCCATTGGAGCATTTTTTTTTTAATTAGACAAAAGTGCTCAATGTGTGTGTGGTATTCGATTGGAATAAAATAAACTCCATATAAATCCAAGATGTGCCTCTTTTATTGAAACTATATTCTAACACGTCACAAAACGCTGTCTATTGGCAAACGCTTTCTAGATTATAATGGAAAGATTGATATTCTTTGTGTGGGAATTAATTGCAACACCTTTTCCAATATCTTTCAGTTTTTGTCATAAATTTTTCCCTTTATGGAATCCTAGAGATAAAAAAAAAGTCTTGGGGAAATTAAGTATGGTCATCATGAAGGTCATTATTGGATCCACGGAAGATTAGCAAAGGTAAATGTCTAACAATGACTTAAAACGATTCGTTACCTTATATCGATAAAACTTGACGATCTTTAAGCCAAAAGCTTTGCGACCTTAATACGGCAAAACTGGGTGAGCTTTCAATTCAAAAGGCTTTTCTTCGTAGCTCTAATAAAATAAAACCTGGGCGAGCTTTCAAGCCAAAAGGCTTTTTTCTTCACGGTCCTAATACGATAAAACTGGGCGAGCTTTCGAAATATATAACTTTGACAGTTTTTGAATAAACCCCATATACTTAATACAATGTTAAACTATGAAGAGAAAACTTTTTTTTTTAATAAAGCAATTCATAATTAATTCTTTAGATAATAAAAAGACATATATTCGATTGATAAAAGGATATATTTTGCAATATATATTTGCCATGAGACAAATGTTGGCGTTTAAAGAGTCAACTAAAATATGATGGCAAATCAATCATTTTTCCAATCCAATAAAAGCATTTTTATTATATAAATAAAGAGAATTAGGATGTCTAAGTGATATGGAAATGGTCAATCAATAATCAATTTTCGAAAGGTAAGATTTTTGACCTCTACATGATGGATATGTGATCTATTCGATGTTGATACACTTTTCTAATGAAAGAAGTTGCTAAACAAATAATGGAAGAGGCCTTGGTTTCCTATGAATGCCTTTGCTAATGGACTAAGCATGCTGTCACGATCCATGGTGGCTATCTTCCCATAATGAAAAGAAAATGATCTTAGAATAACCACAAGTATTTATTGTCTTGTTACCCAAAAAGAAGACAAAAGCGACAAAGTTAGAACTACGAAAGGGTATCTAGATGAGAATATAAGTTTTTTTGAAAAGATTTTGAGTTTTAGAAAAAATATAAGATATCAACTCGTCATCATTAAAATTACTGTTTCTAAATTATTAACCTACTAGACGAATGGCCCGGGCAACGCCCGGGTTTTACCCGAGTGCGTATATATTTTTAAAACGTTTTAATTCAAATACTATTCGTTACAATTATAAATTGGCGCCATGGATGTCACTCTTGTGAAACGTCCCGTTCCAAACTGTGTGTTTTTAAAATGTTTTAATTATATATAATATAACGGTATAATAACGGTATAAAGAAATAATGAGCCTATAGCCTAGTGGTCATGGCATCTGCCCGGTAAGCGGAAGGTTGTGGGTTCGATTCCCATCCCTTTACACTTTTTTTTATTTTATCCATTCTGACCAAAATCTATCCGTGAACTTCACACAGACAGAATAAGGCAATTATATAAGTATATTATGTGATTTTATTATTATTATTATTCCAAATATAAATGGTACAGGCCATGATAATGGTGGTGAGGTAGTAGTTAGCGATTGATTTTACTGTAGGTGCACCACATGTCTACACATGTGGAAAGCAATTTGACTTTAACACTTACAAGCATGCCAGAGACAAGTTTTCAAGAATTGAGGGCCATTGGAGCAATTTTTATTCAGAAAAAAAAGTGTCTCCAATGCGAGATTTGATCCCGGTTTGTGGCTGCCAGAAAACGATGGTTTTTACCATTTCTCCACCTGCTTTCTCCACCTATTGCTTTTATTGAATTAAGATATTAGATGCCCTTAGAATATTCGAATTCTGGTCCAAGGTGACTAACGTGGCAATGGCACCCATTTTCCAATGAAGAGCAATAGTGGTAGTGGTGCTTATCTCCATAGTTAAACCAATTCCTGAAGTCCACTCCTCTCCAATTTTGAGATGGTAGTTATAGGCCTGGAAAATAGGTCCTCTATTGTTAGTTCTGAGCATGACAAGATATGCTCCGGAGAAGCTTCTGCACTATTGAATTTCAAGCAGTTATGACTGCTGTGATATAAATGTGATATAAATACATGGAGACATCTGAATCTCTTCATTAGACACAACAACTAGTTTTCAACCATTTATAAATCAGTAGAAGATTAAACGATTGTACAAAATATCAAATTTATACGTGCTCGGCAAGTATATTAACAAAATTAATTGATACAATATTTGTGGACAGTTATACACAGAACGTCAGATATAAATGGAAATTAAATAAAAACTTTTACGCTTCTAGAATAAAGATAAAGTTTGCGATTCAATTCAGTGATTTATTTTAATATGAGCACTTTGGGTCGGTGGAAGGATGGTCTAAACCGTTGGTTTTAGACCTCTAAGACTCGTGATCGAATCCCGCATCGGGAACTTTTTTGTAATTAAAAAAAATGCTCCAAGGGCCACCGATTCTTGCAAAAGTCCAACCTTACTAGCGAGTGCAAGTAACCAAACGGGGAACATTGGTAAGTGTAATATATAATATCTATATATGGTTTTGACCAAGAACTTGGTGATTGTTGTGTGATGTAATCAATATATAGCGTGATATATTCATGTTTTTAGTTCTTATGATAATTCTGTAATAGTAAAATATTATGTAATGCATCATGCACCACTTTTAATAAAATATACACTACCTAAGATTATTGAATATTAGGTAGTAGAGTACATAACAGTAAGTTTAAAATTCGAGCTACTTTTCACATGTGTAGACATGTAGTGCACTTACAGTAAAATAGTCGCCAACTTCTACCCACCACGATTATCATGGCTTGTACCACGTTTACTAGGGATAATAAAAATATAATAGCACTGTCAAATGAAAGTACAGGCGTACAGATTTCAGTCTAGGTAGCTCACTATTTAATGGTGTCAAATGAAAGTCGTGAACAAGTCATCATTTACATGTTTTAATTAACTACCAAGCAAGTGTTATCTGTACATTCCCCAAATTTCTTCCTTCAGACATCGCCATACAGAAAGCATTCGTTCCAATTAGTGAATTGGCAGAATTCCAGACAACTGGATTCTTTCAGTATTTGAGTTCACCGTTTCCTGAAGTCATTTTCAAACATCCTGCGATTTGTCAAATTTATTGTCAACATCCTTTTCCGTTAGGTCTTTTGGTGAAATCTTTGTCAATATATTCTTAAAAAGTAAAAAAAAAAAATACTACCTCTTTCTCTTTCCAGTCAATTTAAAAAGCAAACAGACACTCAATGTTTATTAAATTATAGAATAATTCTAAATAAAGTTGAAAATGAAAAACATCTGTTTGTCAGTTGGGTTTATATTGCTAAGTGTAATTGCTTTCAGTGTAAACTATATATATTGATCTAAATTATTATTATTTTTTAATATAAAATTATTTTTGATCTTTTTCTCTCTCCACACAATATATATGTCTTTCTAATTAAAGATATATTTATGGATTGCTCTATTTTCTAAAAAAATAATGTTTAAATAATTTGTAATATTTATTGGTTATTTTTACCATAAAAGTGAGAGGTTATGTTCACAAAAATTTATGAAACTAAAGATAAAAATAAGAAATTTGAACAATTTTTGACGTGTATGATTCTTTTTAAAATAAATCAATTTTACTACCGTCTTTACTGCAATGATAAAATAATTGGAGGGCCTGGTTTATCAGTCGTGAACCTTCCTAGAGATTTCGCCAGTTTAATCTATTTTTATCATTGCAGTAAGGGCAGTAGTAAATTGATTTATTTAAAAGAAACATACGCATCAAAAATAGTTTAATATTCTGATAACAGCTGTCGCGCTAATGCATCGTATAAAGATAATCGAAGAAAATAGTACTTATCCAACTCTCTCAGGCTTCCATTTCCCATGGTCGATGCTCCCACAATCTACTTGTGTCTACCAGAATTCCTTTACCTCCAGTTGGCCTGTTACCTAGATGACTATGTTTTTTTTGCTTATCCCTAGTACACGTAGTACAGGCCATGATTATCATGGCCTGTACCACGTGTACTAGGAATAAGCAAAAAGATAATATTAATCATGGTGGTTAGTAGTAGGCGACTGCTTTTACTGTAAGTACACCACATGTCTACAAGTGTGAAAAGCAGTTCGACTTTGCACTTACAAATATGCCAGAACCCCATTTGATTACTTGCACTCGCTGGTAGGATTGGACTTTTGCTAGAATCTGAGGCTATTAGAGCATTTTTTAATTAGAAAAAAAAAGTGCCCAAATGCGGGAATCGAACCCGGGTCGTAGCGGTCGAAAACCAACGGTTTAGACCATCCTTCCACCGACCCTCTGACTGTGTTGTGATTGTCTTCAATGTTTTCACCGAAAAAGTTTGCCTTCAAGCTTACAGCGGAGGGTGTGTATTTTCTATAAGAAAATATTACTAAAAAATCACAAACAATGTCCAAGTATTTTTTTAAAAGGAGCTTGATTCACACCATTGAGAAGGTACCTTGACATGGATGACCACTTTGATGATTCAGCAGTGATGATTCTGAATTTAAAATGAACCTTGAACAAACGATGAAGCAAAAAAAAAAACTTTTTGTTGCCAATAGAAAGTGTTTCCTTAAATTTTCTTCCTTCTTGATAATGTATAATTGATACACACATCCAATATATATATTTATTTATAATATAAAATAACTATATGATTGTTTTTTTTTTTGCATTTTTAAAAATGTATTTCAGACTATCAGTAACACATCACCTCAGTCATTTTATTTAAGATCTAACTTTGTTAAATCTTAGTTTATCTATGAATCCGCAATATTTATCTGTTTAATTGCTTTTGACCAACATAAGAGGCCACGTGCATATGTCTACGTTGTATATATATGGTACATCTTACAGTAAAAGGCTGGGGAATCTAACCTCTTCGAAAAACCTTGGTTGCGTGCAGCACCTTGGTACTTTGATATAGTGCATTGCGGCTTGTCTGCTTGCTACAATATTTTGGGCATAAAAATCATACACTTTAAGCATTGCGGTATGTCTGCTCTCCACGGTCACCCCTGGGCTCAACACTATTGGACCCGTCTCTGCCTCACCCTGATCTCCGCGGATCATCACCCTGCCCCCCCCCCCCCCCCCCCCCGATCCTCCTCTACATCCCGGCTTTCCTGGCCTCACCTGGCGATGATCCCCTGGCCACCCATCCCCAGGCCCCTCCAACTGTGCTTTGTATATATTCCGCTTTACGCGGCCATTGAGGTTTAAAAATCATCCATTTTAGTTAGCAGCCCCGTAAATAAAGATATTTACTCCTTACAGTAAAACGCTCTGGTTTTCCCTTCAGCCACGCATTATATCTTACAGTGAAAACAATTGTAAACTCCCACCTAAAATGACCTCCACCATGCATACTTGGTATAATGGCCAAACCCCCCTCAGCTAGGAAATAAATGTTTAAAATCAAAATAATGAAAATTGATAGGATTCATAAAGAGACAATGGTCTTGTGATTTATCAAAAAAAGTCGACATTCAAGGAAATACTTGAAAATAATTATTTTCCCCGAGTATACAAATTTCATCAAGAGAAAACAAGACGTCTATTGAGGACTTCTAACAGACTCCAAAGACAGAACAGGACTTAAAGTGATGTCTTGAAGGAAAGATCTGAGATTTGTCGCTCAAGAAACATAAGATTTGAAGAAAACAAAAGACAGAACGGGGCTTCAGTGATATCTTAAAGGAAAGATCTGTGAGTTGTCGCTCAAGAAAAATAAGATTTGAAGAAAACAAAAGACAAAATAACAAAAAAATCTCAATATTATGCAAATTTGAGAGCTTCTAGCGTTTTCTAATTCCATATATATACATACTAAACTGTATATATGCAATATTCCAAAATGTATTATTTCAAATATGTAACAAGAATCAAGATCGTAATTTTAATTGGTAATCGGTTTGTACAAATATTCGACGTTTTTTGTATGTATTTCAGTAAATCTTTTATATAAGCTAGAATTCTCTTATCACTCCAGAACACATTTCCTCACAGGAAGGCAGTGGTAGTGGTACTTGTTACAAAATTCACACCAAACTTAGCTCTCAAGATGATTTTAATATTCAGTAAAATTGGTTTTTTTTTTCCTTCCAGATCCAGGTACACCTTTTTTATATAAATATATTCAATATATCGCCTTTTAGCTAAAAAAAATCATCTTTTTATATTAATTTTATAAATTGCTTTCAAAGTATTTTCCTAATATTATGATTTTTTTAACTATAAAAAAGTATCGCTAAATTTTGTGTCGATTTTCAATATGATTTATACAAAAAAAAAGGAGAATAATGATAATAATTTACATATAGCTACGCTAACATGTCATTCATAAGATTGCTAAA